GTAAGTCCGCAAACATACCGCTCTGCCACTGTGGGACTAAGTTATTGGTTGTTTGAGATGACAAAGGTTGTCGCGTTTTTTCATAGAATTATGATAAAATTTACTTTCGCACGTATTTATAAAAAGAAAGTTGTTACCTAAATAGAATGCAACAATCCATAGCAAAGTTTGCGCATGCTCAGTTTATAAGCATGCATTGTCTGCTAGCCAAAAATCGTTTGCTACTGCATTGTTATATATTTGAGTTTACCTTCATTCGAAACTAGACAAAGCTCTTTCAGGTTTGATTGAATATTTTAAGAATAAAGTTATACGTCGCTGGTAGGCATACTTTGTTGCTATGAGCAATGTTTAAGATTATTACTAGTAGTTTTGATCGGGGATTTTTTTTAGCGTTGTACGCTCAAGGCAGCTAATCTTATTTTGTTTTTTAGCTGGACTTGTCCTAGTTAATTCACTAATTCATTGCGGACTGGGCCATCCAATAGGCCTAAGTGAATTATATTCAGCACTTAATTGGTCACGAAATATGACTTGTAAGGGTTTAGGCGTATGCCCTATCAATTTGTCCCTTAAACAACGAAAAATCAGCTAATCATATGCCTACGGCTGTACCACCTCTATAATGGTATATATAAAAATAAATATAGATATACACACATCAATATATATACGCGCACCTAGGTCTAGACTAAGTAGTTTTCTTTTGTTAGACTACAATTTTCGTTTGTGTAATTATAATAAGATGTCATTAGCATGTTGCACATGTGAAAAGTGACCAGTGGTCCGAACGATTGTATACAATGTTTTAATGAGTGTAAGTTATATTATAATTATTTTTGTGTAACAATAAATTATGTAAATTATAAATAGTTAAATAAAGAAGAGAAAAAGAATTCTAAATGTTCAACGTCAAAAAATGGGAACTTATGTTTTCAACTCAACAGAACATCTCTAAGCCAGTGGCAGTTTCAACGTTATGTAAAACTGAGTGTGCTGAAGCAAGTCAAGGTGGCCGTGAAGCAGATGAAAATTTGGAATAACTTGATAATATTAATGAAGATAAAAGGTATGAATACTTTGGTAAGATAAAAACGGGAATATTGGAAAGAAACAGAATGCATGCGAAATTAGACAGGAAATTCCGAATGCAAAATTTAAATGAAAGATCTGAAATCATCAATAGATTTTTGTTCAAATAAAATTGATGAATTTATAAACATGATGTCAGAAGTAATGGTCAACATAAAAGAAATGAAACAATAAAATCACGAACTTGTATTACAAAAGAAAAATATCCAACAGGAAATCAACATCTTAAAAGAACAAGTAATTGACTTTCAACGGTATTCAAGAAATATGAATATTGAAATTCAGGAAATTGCATAAAGGATGAAGATATTCAAATTGCTCATAGACTAACACCAGGGAATATATAGAAATAAACTAGGCCTATTATCGTACAACTTTTAAACAGACAATTTAAAAAAAATTGATTCAATAAGGAGTGAAGAAAGTGATTAAAACGACTAGCACTAATGTGAATTATACAGAAGGCCTAGTATTTATAAATCAACATCTTACAACTGAAGTAATTTTTTTTTATCAATATATATGTATAAAAATAGTGCTAGAAACAAAATTGATAAGTTTATTTGAATTAAAGAAGGAAAAATCCTGGTAAGAAAATCAAGGCCCGGCATGGCCAGGTGGTTAGGGCGCTCGACTCGCAATCCGTGGGTCGCGAGTTCGAATCCCCGTCACACCAAACATGCTCGCCCTTTCAGCCGTGGGGGCGTTATAATGTGACGGTCAATCCCACTATTCGTTGGTAAAAGAGTAGCCCAAGCGTTGGCGGTGGGTGGTGATGACTAGCTGCCTTCCCTCTAGTCTTACACTGCTAAATTAGGGACGGCTAGCGCAGATAGCCCTCGTGTAGCTTTGCACGAAATCCAAAAAACAAACAAAATAAGAGAATCAGGAAAAGAAAAGGTAATAAGAATTAAAAATGAACGAGATCTAACTAAATTATAAGCTAACACTAAAACAACGAAACTTTTTAAAGTTATGTTAGATAGTGATTGCGGAATGGATATTTGATAATCTGTATAAGAATAACTTATTTGTTAGTTCAAATATAATTAATGTACTACAAATGAGAGCACGTAGTTTAAATGAGAATTTTGATCTGTTTGCTTATTTATTTACAATTAATTCCACAGAAAATACATAGCATAGTACTTACATAAATTTGGGCGAAAATGAAGAGTTAAATTTATATAATATGGAGGGATAAAGATGTTATACAGTTAGAGATTATAATACATCTGTAGATACAACAGCATTTTTAAGAGTGTACGAGAAATAATTACTGAAGCAGTGAACGTATAATGTACGGATGTAAATATACCAATTTCAATATTGGAGCACTTTATAGGTATCTTCAGCATAGTATTCAAGCTTATATTAAACAACTAAAAATTTTTCAAGGAAAAATAAAAGGAAAATGTATACATTGTAGGAGACATAAATATTGAATCTAAAGAAAAGAATGTAAAAATATGTCAGCTTCTTTCAGTTTTTATCCTCTGTACAAACTATTACTAGAGAATAGTGAAATACATGTCTTGATCACATTTATATTAGAACAGATAAAATAGATTCCATACAAACAAAATTCACAAAAAACTAAAGCTACAGGCGTTTTATTACGTTTGGTTATTTTTAGAACAAAGCCACATGGTCTATGTGGTCTCTCCACCACAGGGAATCGAACCCACCGGGGAACTTTATTATAATTCTGAAAATTAATTTAAAAATAAAGCTACTATAAAAGTAAGAATAATTTACATAATAATGAAGTATGAAAAATAATTTACAATAAGATTGATACAATAATGAAACAAACTGATTTTAGTAGTATCTATCAACAATTAAATTTACAAGATGCATACAAAAGATAAAGAAATATAGTTGCATCATCTACGGAACGTGTAAAAATAAACAGAGAAAAAGTTCAAATCGTGGATGAGAAATGTATTATTACAATCTGTTCAACAAAGAAAGAAAATGTATAGAAGTATATAAATATATTAACAACCTAGAATGAATTAGTTGATTAAAAAAAAACTCATAGAAATTATCTAAGTAAGCTCTTAAAACAACCCAAAATAAATTATTATGAGCAACAAAATAATTCATAGTAAAACTTATTTTAAAAATAAAGGAACATAATATACGAGATAACAGGAAGATATTCATAATGAGCTAAAAATCTGAATGTATTACAGAAAATAATAAGTATATTAAGTCGACTGAACAACTGAAATTACATGCAAGATAATTTAATGAATTTTATATAAATATTGTAAAATAACTTATAAGTAAAAATTGTTGTAACTGTTGTGATACAGCTAAGATAAGATACGTTATAAGAACTAACATATCTGTTAATTCAATCTATCTAATACAAACTGATAGATATGAATTTAAAAAATATATATAAACTCTCTAAAAAAAAGGAAAGATAAAATTATAGGTGAAGTTACTTACAATAATATTGAAAAATTAACACTGAAAATAGCTTATTTGGTTAAAATGCCGATGGAAAAAAGGAGTTTTCGCAGACGTTCCCCAGGTAGCCCAGCATAAGTCTGAAGGCTAATTAGGCCAAACACTAGGTTTCCGTATACGTGGTTGGAGTACAGACAGTCCATTGTTAGCTTTGCGCTTAACAATAGAACAAAGAAGTTTTCACAGGAATTTTAAAAAGTGCTGTCATTATACCAAACCTTAAAGGAGGAAATAAAAGTGATTCAAACAATCACAGATCGATTACTTTGTAATCAGTCATATCGAAAATTCTCGACAAAAATGTTAAAGAAAGAATAATCAAACTTTTAGATTCAAAATGTTTTATCTCAGATCTTCAATCTGGATAATGATGGTAAAATAATACATACTCTTTTTCAAGATATATCAAAAACTTTTGATACGATTTCACGTGAGTTTCTACTCAAGAAACTTTATAAAATTGGAATAAAAGGCACTGTTTTAAGTTGGTTTAAATCATATATATTAAATAGAAAAAAAAATTAAAATAAATACTGTTATTTGTGATGAAATGAGCTTAACTGCTGGAGTACCTTCAAGGATCAGTTTTGGGTCCATTGTTGTTTTTATTATATTCAAATGATTTCTGTGAAATTTAGTTTAATGGAGAAATAACACGTTTTGCAGATGACTCAGTATAAATCTGTAATGAAAAGTCTGATAATGAGGTTATCAAAAAAATAAATAATGATAACAGCACAGATAGCTCATTGTATAGTTTTGTGCTTAACAACAAACAAATAAAACCATTTTTAACCCTGCTGATATGCGTATTTGTAAAATACTTAACCCTTTGTATTGTTAACTGATTAAAATACTTCTTGGTAATAGATTATTTTATTTGAAATGTAATAATCAGAGCCTGGGAAGTAGGTTTATCATTTATAGTGACTTTATTAAAAGTCAGAAAGCTAATAGTTTGGGTAAAAAAATGTTTTAGGTCTGGTGCGATTCAACATAAATTGTATCATCCTTGTGGGTTATGGTAAAAGTTAACTGACTACATACATTACCAAATAAAGATTGCTCTCTTTTGATTAGATAGAAAATGTTTGATTATAACCATATTAACACATAAAATAAGGTAAAAACGGCTTCAAATGACATTAACACCGACCTTTTTTAATGATGTAGAATGACATATTTTTATTTTATTTATGAATCAATAGGAAATTAGTGACGAGAGCTCCTGAGCAGTATGAGCGTCAATTTATATTGGTATTTAGGTGGCAAGTGTTCTCATATAACAAATATAGTGTTACTTGATAGCTCCAATGAATTTTACTTTTGATATTTTTTGCACGTGAAGCTTTCCTTTCAGAATTATCGCATTAATGCTTCTTCTAACGTACTTATGACTGTTTGTTTACATTTTTCTCTGTATGGGCTGACACATAAGCCCCGAGGAATCTTTGTAACCTTAAGATCTCTTGGTCAGTGTAGAACCTATGAGAAGGAAATAGGTGCTGAACAAATTTACACATTGAGGTAAACCTATGAATAAAGAATCTTATTCTGGAATCTGGCAGACGTCTAAAAGTGTACAGTCGTTTTGTTGCTTCGTGTTTACTTACACACACACCTCTCATTACAAAGTCTTTTCTCGTGGTATGCCATATTTAAATGTTTTAGCTCTCTCTTTAGCTAAGTTTTTAATGTTTATTTTCTGTTTCAGTAACTCTAAACTTTGAGATTTCTGTTTATTTTTTATTTTTGTTCACTTACCATGCAAGTCTCTATATTTTATTCCCTTAAGCTTCCCACAATATTTTAGTTATTAGCAAAGTTCTTGATCTAACTAATTGTTCAATTGTTTGTTTGGATGACACATTAATGTACTTACTGACAAAAATATTACAAAATGCAAGTAAAACGAAGTTGAACCACCTTTAGCCTTGAAAGCAGCAACAATTCATTGTGACATTAACTCCGCAACGTTGACAGTAGACATCTTGCAATTCCTCAAAGCGGATGGACCATATTTGCGTCAAGGACGATTGGAAATGTGATTAGTCTCTGATATATGTTCCAAGACATTCCAACGATGCTCAATGGTGTTGTGATCCGGATTCTGTGGTGTCCAAGCAAAATGTGTGAAGTCTTTGCAATGTTCCAGAAACAAGTACTGTATTACATGGTTCAAAGAATCGTAGTAATATCATCCTGAAATAGCTTATATGTCTGGATACTTGAACAATATTGTTGTGTTTATCTGGTTGTTCAATATCCCTAGACAGTCTCTGAATATCTCAAGTATTTAAGGGATTGAGAAGTCCTACCTCATGTTATTTGAACACTTCATAGTGCATCATGTAACCTCCAGCAACCCGAACTGTTGTCATGATAAATTGAAAGTTTCCAACATATCCAAAACAGAATGAAGTATAATTCTTCAGACAACAGGACTTTCATCCATTAGACCAAAATCCACTCTTTCTGGTCATAACAAAGCTCTAGACAGATTTTCCAGTTCTTATCCAAGATAGAGCCTTTTAAACTAGTACCCAACTACCAAATCCAATACTGTTCAATATTTGACGCATTGTTCTCAATGATATGAGCACTTGTGAATGAAGTATGCATGTGACTTCCATCAGTGCGTCCTGTTTGTCGTACTCCTTTTGCACCCAGATTTATTCTTGTTGCTGAATGAATGTAGACCTGCAAGACTGTGGTCACAGATACCTATGACACGATGTCACTTTCTTGAGTGATAATCCTGCCTCATGGGTTCCCACTATCACACCACTTGTAACGTTACTAATTAGTTGCATATTGGTTTTACAGTGGAGTTGCCAGCTACACAGAAACCATTGTACCATTTTTTGACCAATCACTGTATGACAAATATAAAAACAGAGTATTCACATTTGCAAACCATAACAAACGTTTTAAAATACTTTTTCAGGTTTATTTTGAGAACGAAATAATTTTGATTATATTCAGTCAAACTTTACATAGCTAGGCGTTTCTTGTAGTGTAACAAATATGTGTACATTTTAAATCTTGTTTATTTTTAATGCAAAGTGAAAAATCGTCAAACAACAGCATTAATCAATTTTTATTACATAAGTTTTTATAAACCTCATAATTATTCTTAACACATTTTCCTTAATTTTATTCTTTTTTAAATTAACAGCTTTAACAAAAAATATTAATTGTAATTGATACAGCTTAATCAAATTGTTGTCAAATATAGTTTTACAGCAACCTGATACTGTAGTAACAGAGTTATCGTATACGTAACTCAAATCTTAAATTTTTTTATAATAGCTAAAGCTATTTTCCTATGACATAAAAATAATGCTGATATTTTCCTTTTAGGTAAGATCCTTGGCAAAGCAAAAACATCATAAATAACACCAGGAAATAGTGAAATAAAATGAACTCCTTTGTCCGATTTTTTCTAATAAACTGAAACTACCTGTATTATTCTCATAAAACTTTACCTTTTAATTAACATGGAGTCACTCAGAAGAGCTTTCTATAGACTCGTGAGCAATCTGAAATATGTAACAGTAGAGCCACTAGTCACGCTGATTTTCTTCGCTTTCATGGTACGTGGTGTATGTTATCAACAATTAATGTTAGACAAAGCTTGTTATAATGAAATCAGATACTCAAGTGATGTTTGCTCAAATCTCAACGATGAAAAATACAAACTACAGAAAGATGAGGTTCAAAGAATGGCTAATAATTACCACATGGGAACAACAATTGTTTCAACTCTTCCCGCTATTATTCTTTCAATTTTTATTGGACCTTGGAGTGATAAATATGGAAGAAGGTATCCTTTAATAGTAGCTCTTCTTGGCTTTCTTCTTGAAGGTATTGGAGTCATTATTGTTACTGCAAGATTTGAATTACCACTTTACTTTAACCTTTTAATTCATATCCCTTCTGGATTAAGTGGAGGTATGATTATGATCTTTACTTCTGTCTACAGTTATATTAGTGACGTCTCTGACACCGAGTCTAGGCCATTCCGATATGCCCTTTTAGAAATGGGAGTGGTTCTTGGAGCTCCTTTAGGAACTCAGGTTGGTGGACAAATCTACAAACATCATGGATACATTCCAGTGTTTTCGACATCTTTAGTATTTATTATATTGTCTGTTGCATACGTTATCTTTATTGTCAAAGAATCCAAGAAAATAAGTAAAGACGTAAAGTTAAAGACAGTTGCACTGGATTTTTTCTCAGTTGATAATGTCAAGGAAAGTCTATCAACTTGTTTGAAGAAGAGACCCGGAAATGCTCGATTACAGATATGGCTTCTGATTATTGCAATCTGTTTTCAACTCTTTGTGAACATGGGTAAGTGGAAAGATAATATCATAAGAGTTCTGATTTTCTAATAAACATGAAATAATCATTTTACACTTCGCCTAATATATATATATATATTATGTTAGTAAATATTTTTATAGCTAAATATAGATATATTTCAGGTTCGAATAAAGCATGTATTTCTTCAAGTATCAAGGAAGACAAAAAATAAATGAGTTAAACAATCATTTTATGTGAGGGATTGTATCTTAGGATTTCCTTGGGTCAGCATCTAAAAAAAGAATATATGTATCATATATTTCTTTAAGCTACATTTCAAACTTATCAAAAATACACCTCGTTTTAGAAACCGCATTTTCTCATCAAAAACATCTAATGATATCAAATATAAGTTTAGGCATTTCAAAATATTTCTTTTTAATAGTATAAAAAGTCACAATCACCATCAAAACTAATGTCTCCATTATTGTTATATGAATACAAAAGTTTGCAAACATTAGCAAATAATTATTTTTGTTTTTGCTTTGAATCTAATAAGTAAATAAAACGATTTAAATTTTCTGTATTTGTTGTTCTTGTGAAACGTTTCTTCATAGCTTCGTAATGGTAACTAAATATGTTGGAGACTAGAAGCTGAATTGTCGTGTAGACAGTACCTTCTCTGCTGTAATTACGAATGTGCGTAGAAAAATACACAGACTTTTTCAAAACTATATCATTTAATTAAGCTTAGCATAAATGTGGGATCATTTAATTAAGCTTAGCATAAATGTGGGATCATTTAATTAAGCTTAGCGTAAAAGTGGGATCATTTGATTAAGCTTAGCATAAATGTGGGATCATTTAATTAAGCTTAGCGTAAGGATGGGACCATTTCATTATTCTCAACGTAAGATTGGGACCATTTTATTATATTCAGTTTAAAAGTGTGATCATTTCATGATGCTTAGCGCAAATGTGTTATAATTTCATAATGCTTAGCGTAAAGGTGTGATCATTTCAACATGTTTAGTCTAACTTAATTTTCATACTTTACCAAAATAAAAGAGAAATGAAAGAAAGTTTTACTTTAAACTAAGCCATCAACCGATATGACAACATGCTTTGCAACTGTACCATTTCATGTTTAGCTTACTTGGAAGATAATTAACAGTAGTTTTAAAGATAAATTAAATACTAGAGTATTGCTACCTTATATTCAGATTTATTTATTGCTCTTTTCAGGGACCTTTACAATCGCATATCTTTACACACTGAAGATGTACAAATGGGATGTGGCACGTTACTCTAATATTTATGCCATCTTCAGTGTCATCTCTGCCTTCACGACAATAGTTGCAGTGCCTTTCCTAACTCGTTTCGTCAAAATTCGAGACGTAGCTCTTGGGCTAATTGGAATATTATCTATGCAGGCAAAATGCGTATTTCTGGCAAGTTCATTTGAAGAATGGGTGTATTTACTGGGTGAGGCTTTAGTGTTAACACATGAATCTAATGGTGCTACTTTTCACTGCTTAAACTACATTAACGTAATTTATAAGTCAGTAGCTGTGAACCGAATCTTATTTCACAAAATTCTGGGCAGGAAAAGTTACTATAACAAACATAAGCTTCTTAAATTAGTTAAACTTGGTTTAATATGCTTCATTACATGATCACTACTTGTTCTACAAGACGTAAAAAAATATATTGTGGTTTTTCAAATGCACTAATTATGATTAGTTGATTTATGAAAGCCTAATACCACACACCACATATCTCCAAGTATTCTATTTCTTGAGATAATTTTTATGTTTATGGCTTGAACAAATATGCAAATTTTGTCTGTCCACCATACTCAGCTGCATAATACTCTGTTGATGACAGCATTGCTTACACGGAATTCGTCACACAAATACTATTGACAAAAACACGACTTACACAGAATTCGTCACACAAACACTATTACACGGAATTCGTCCTATAAATACTATTGATAAGAGCATTACTTGCACGGAATTCGTCTTACAAATACTATTGATAAAACTATTACATACACGGAATTAATCGTAAAAATACACTGTTGATGAAAGCATTGCTTACATGGAATTCATCATGCACGCATTGTTGATGAAAGCGTTGTTTACATTAAATTAATCATACAGTACTGTTGATGAAAGCGTTGCTCACATTAAATTCATTATACAGTACTGTTGATAAATGCGTTACTTACATGAAATTCATCATACAAGCACTGTTGATGAAAGTTGCTTACATGGAATTCATCATACAAGCACTGTTGATGAAAGTTGCTTACATGGAATTCATCATACAAGCACTGTTGATAAATGCGTTGCTTACATGGAATTCATCATACAAGTACTGTTTATGAAAGCATGACTTACACTCAATTTACAAGTGAATCCCGTGATCACTTTTGGATAGGAATAATAAAGATCTCTAGCTGTCACTGATAACCAGCTGGAGTGAAGGTACTACGTGAACAAACTGAGCTTTGGTATTATGAATGCACTAGTCTGCATACACTCACCTTCGTTGTAGGTAATGTTCTGGAAGACCACTCGACATAAAACTTTAATTAGAGAATAAGATTGCAGGCCAAAACATTTCCCATGTGCGGGGACCTATAATGTTCTGGATTTCATAGAGGACTTCGACACATAAGCCAAAAATAAATTACATCAAACCTCATGTTACCTTGAATATCAAAAGTGGTTTTAATATTATTGGAAAGTCATCATGTAGAAGAATGAACCCTACTTGACATTGTTTACTTTGTAAAATAACCCGCATACAGATCATATTTAGATAGAATGGTCTGAGTTTGACATTATCCATGAGGACGCTTTACAATCTCAAGTATGAAAGGTATGAAAGCAATATCATAGTGTGGGCCTATTTAAGTTAACTTGGACGTAAAAACTTAAGGTAAGGATATCGATCTCGCTGTCATTATTAGTAGTGTATATGATAATCCAAATCTAATTGTTAGTTAATTTATATATTTTTACTGATAGAGACTAGTTATCCTACATTTGGACTATAATATGTAATTGTCTTCAGATAGAAAGGCTGGTTCGTTCGTTTCTGGCAGTTATTTTGATTTAAAAATAATTATCTCCTAAGAAATAATTACTAATCAAGGGTGCTCGAAGATTAGCAATCCTCCTTCACCCTCCTCGAGACTTAAGGTTAAATTTCAATTAATGGTCAGCGGATTAATGAGCTGTATGGGCGAAGAAGTAGAAAAAAAATTACATATATATATTCCCGTATATATACGTATGATGATGAGGCAAGTAGGCAGAAGTGAAGGCAAGTCCAAGGCGTAGCAGAGGTCGGTTGATCTTGAAGAAGGAGCAAGTCGTCAGCCGTTTTTGGCAAGTTATAGAAACAAAATGAAGCAAACGGGCCTTTACAGGGCCTGGCGGGGATCAGTGGATCCAAGTGTCAAGGCTAGGATCTATAGATTCAAGGCCAAAAAATTTGATGTGGGGGGGACTGGAGTACCCCCGAGAAAACCCACTTTCACCAGTCGGGATAGAAAGGCTGGTATGCTATTCAAGCTAATATATTTGAATGCTTGAAGAGAGGTATCCAGGTTTTGTTGACTCCTACTCAGTTGAATGAGTGTGTTATCAGGTAAGTGGGTGAAAAACTTGTTTTATCTTTCTTTTCTCGTTTGTGGCTCACATCTTAGTTTAGCATTAATCCGTTTGATTGTATTATCTTTTTTTTTTTTGATACGATGGCCTGTAATACCCTTGAATTCTAGCTTTTGTTAATCGTTTTTTTCTTCACTGTATTGGAGTTTATATTCACAGGGATGCTATAAATGGCCTGTTATGTCATTAGGTGGTTTGGTGTGTTATATCTGCGATCGTGTCACGGCTTCTGCACACTGTTCTGAATTTTTGCTGTTCACATATCCTCTGTATATTTCAGAGAGGAACTTTGGCTTAAGGGAACATGGATATGTGTCTGCAGTTTTCTTCCTGCTTATTATTTGTGTTTATCCTATTTATTTTCTTCTTTATTAAGTGTTCGGTATATCCATTGTCAAGGAGGGTTTCAGTGATGTATTGTTCTTTTCTTTTTCTGACGATCTTCAGTACTACAAGTCTAGTTCATTCTGTAAACTATGCAGTCTTTAACGCCCGTCTGATGGGGTGGTTTAATTGTTATTCGAGATGTTTACCAGTATTTGTGGGTTTTCTGTAAACTCCTGTGGTATATGATTCGTGTTTCTTAGTAACTCACATGTAGGAATGGAAGTATTTTATCTTGTATTTCCATTGCCAATGGATATTGTCTGTTTATGTGGTTCATGAATTCTGAGTCTTGGCCATATCGTCACCATATCTGATTCAAATTCTTAGACTTAGAGATACTTTTTTGAGGGTGTATCTTCGGAAATGTTCGATTTAATGGTTACTGAGAACAGAAGATTGAGGTGTGTTTATATCTAGGCTTTTTCTCTGTTGGTTGTATTTATCTTCATTTTTGAAGTTAGTTGTGGTTGTACAGAAGGTTTTGGGTTTTATTATTGTGGAAATTGTTCAGTTGGATGCGTTCCTCCAGGCTTCCATCATATTC